GCCTCCTGAGTAACTTCTGTGAGCCACCAGTGCCTGGCTGTATGTCCTTTTTAATGTTCAGTTACTAGCACCAACAAATCAGGAGACATTTTACATACTGTTCCCCAGCAGAAAACCTGTTTCTCTCTATATTCAATAATGTCTGCTGTCCCTGTTAGGGAAATAAGACCTGATAATTAGTCCTGTAAACAAGATAATTAAAAGAAGCCCATTTTATCACTTTTCTTCCACTCAGGTGTCATTTTGAAGAGCTACAACTATGCTCACTAATTACCTGATAAGGAAACTTGTCAGATAACTTGGAAGAGAGACAAGAGTTTGGAATTTGGGACCATTCTGCTCTTAAGACAAACCAGGCCTTCTGACCTTCAGTGAATCATTTAATAGTTCCAAACTCCAGTCTCCTTATCTGTAAAAGGAGATAAGAACACCTATCTAAGAAAGTTGTTTAAAACAATCAGATATAACATAAGTAATGTTTCTCATTAGTGGATGGCTTAGTATTTTAACTCCCCTAGTGTAAAATGACCAAACCACACCACAAACCCCAGATTTCACCAGTTAAGTCTCCTCCCCATCTTCATTTCTCCTTCCCTTCTCCTTCCAGTGACTGGATGAAAACATTTTTTAAGATTTGAATCATTTCCTTCTTATTGAAATTATGGCCCACATGAGATTTTACTGCTCAAGACAGAAGACTCTCCATATTCAAATAATGACCAGATGTATTCCTGCCTAGTACAAAGACACGTTTTACCTGTCACCCCAGCCAGATGGCAGCTAGGGCTGAACTTGCTGGATTCAGTGATCTCAAGATAAATAACCTTACCTCTGAGTTCCACAGGAAGTGGTTAGTAAGGCCCAGCTGAAGGTAGGGTTTGGCCCATTTCGAAGCCTGCCTATTCTGCCTTCAAGCTGCCAATTCTCCCAGGTCTTTCTGGAAGTCTTTCCAATGAATCTGCCACACTGATTCCTGTTTATCCATGTTGATGGCCAGGTTTGTGTGCTTTAGGGGGAATTCTGTGGCTATGTTGTCAGTTTGCTTTTCTCTTTCTTTCTTTCTTTCTTTCTTTCTTTCTTTCTTTCTTTCTTTCTTTCTTTCTTTCTTTCTTTCTTTCTTTCTTTCTTTCTTTCTTTCTTTCTTTCTTTCTTTCTTTCTTTCTTTCTTCCTTTCTTTCTTCCCTCCTTCCTTCCTTCCTTCCTTCCTTCCTTCCTTCCTTCCTTCCTTCCTTCCTTCCTTCCTTCCTTCTTTTCTCTCTTTCTCTCTTCTTTTTTGGTGCCAATACTGGAGCTGGAACTCAGAGCATGGGAACTATCCCTTAGCTTTTTCACTCAAGGCTGGCATTCTACTATTTGAACCATAGCTCCACTTCTGACTTTTTGGTGGTTAATTGGAAGTAAAGAATCTCATGGACTTTTGCTGCCTGGGCTGGCTTCAAACTGTGATCATCAGGGCTCAGCCTCCTGAGTAGCTAGGATTACAGGTGTGAGCCACCAATACTTGGCTAATTTCATGTCCAGATATTCAGTCCTGGATCTTCAGCATGGCTTCTTTATTTTTTCCTCATAAAATTTTGCTTAGGGCCAGGCATTGAGAAACAGTAAAAAATGAATTTTGATTTACTAGTTGATTCCCAGTTATGGCTCAAGTTGGCCTTGGATATTCTTTGAAACAATTGAGTGGGTGCAGATCAGTCAGGTTTACCTTGCACAGTAACTATTCAGTTAACTTCTTTCCACAGATCCACAGAATTTGGAGGTTATTTTTTGTGTATGGCAACCCTCCCTCACCTAGAAAAGTGACTTTTGGCTCCCAAACCTAGTCAATAATATGCTGTAGTTTTAACGTTCTAGTTTCAGGCTAAGATGCATCCATTAATTTCTCTGAGAAGTTAACAATTTTGAGTAGCAGGTCAGTGTGGCTGATATTTGGCTTTGTATTTGTATATACATATGTGTGTGTGTGTGTGTATATACCATGTTTGTGTGAACAGCTAGCATCGTGTGTGTGTGTGTGTGTGTGTGTGTGTGTGTGTGTGTGTGTGTGTGTGTGTGTACTGGGGTTTGATTTCAAGCCTCTCATTTGGCTTTTTCACTCAAGGCTAGCATTCCACCAATTGAGCCACAGCTGCAGTCAAAGAGCTAATAGCAGCTTTTACTTCTTTTCGGTTCAGCAATCAGTAGACTTCTAAAGTATATACTTCAGAGAATGCGAGGTCTTGGTTGCAAGAGTATGTAACTGCCTTGCTTAAGGTTTGCTGAAAGGAGACCACCACATGATTCAGGCAGAAAAGACTTTATTGGGGGGAGAGCAAACAAATGTGTGGCAGTCTCCTTTTGGCGACTCTTACACCTTGTGTAACAGGGATACAGTCATCAACGATCAAATACAATTTTATTTATAAAAATAGGACATGGGTTAAGTTTGGCCCATGCGTGTGCCATGTTTTGTAGTTCCCTGCTTTAGTCTTTGGTGAGCATTCATTATTCCTCTGTAACTTGAACTTCTTTATTTTGCCCCAGAGGTTGTTTTAAATTTTTTTTCTGTCCTACTTTATTTTTGAATGCAGTTTATTTTAAGGGCAAGATAATCACCATCTCCCAAAAGGTTGAAAAATTAATGCAGAAAATGACAGACTGAAGACTGCATCTGATAATGAATAATTCACCCACATCCTATCCTCTATCAATCCCACCCACTCTCAAATCTTCTTTGATTATTTTTGTAGAGAGAAAAAGAAAACCTTTATTACATTACATTAGATGGACAAACTATTTTTAACATACCAGGTTATTTATTAGACTTTGTTTTGTTGTTAATTTAATGCAGTTTGCTGTGTATTTTTGAAGGTTGGAATGGAATGCATCCTACTTTCCAGATTACAATCCCTGGAAGGAGTGTTTAGTTTAATGGCCTTTCCCTCAGGAGATGAATGCTCAGGTCAGGAATGAAGTCTGGACTGTCAGTGATGGATAGGAATAACTGAAGCCCCAAACTGCCTTTACCTCATGGAGGGAGGGGGAAAATTGCTACTCCAAGATTAAAAAAATTACTCAACTGACAATCCCAAACCACCATTGCTATGTCAATCAAGACTCTGAAGGGGGGTTGGAGGCGTGGCTCAGTTGAGTGCTAGCCAATGAGTGAAAGCTTCAGGTACTGAGGCCCAGACCTAAAAAAGAAAAGACTGAAGGGTGTGAGGAGATTTGGAGAAGTAAAAAGAGGAAGAAGCCAGACCCTGGTGGCTCAAGGATGTAATCCTAGCTGCTCAGGAGGCTGAGATCTGAGGATCGCTGCTCAAAGCCGGCGCATGCAGGGAAGTCTGTGAGATTTTTATCGACAAGCAACCACCAAAAAGTGAGAAGTAGAACTGTGGCCCAAGTGATTCCACTAGCCTTGAGTGAAAAGGCTAACGGATAACATATAAGTCCCTGAGTTCAAGTCCAGTACTAGCACATATTTTTGTCGGTCATAGGGCTTGAACTCATGGCCTAGCCCTGTCCTTGAGTTCTTTTGCTCAAGGCTAGTGCTCCACTACTTGAGCCCCATCTCCACTTCTGGTTTTCTGGTGGTTTATTAGAGATAAGAGTCTCATGGACTTTCCTGCCTGTGCTGCCTTTTGAACTGTGATGGTTGGATCTCAGCCTTCTGAGTAGCTAGGATTATAGATGTGAGCCACCAGTGCCCAGCTTGTACCAGCATTTAAAAAAAGAAAGATATGGGCCCTGTTGTGTTTGGGTGACAGTCCTCTTCCTTGTGCAAAGGAAGCATTGTCAAGCCGCAGACATGCAGTGTGATTGCATCTCCCCAAGATCCTGTGTGTTATTTTCCCATGTCATCGAAGGCCTTTGCTTGGTTTCAGGCTCATTTTGTAAAACAGTGTAATTGAAATTGACTTTGCTATTTCATGTATAGATTTAGCTGGAGGTGAAAACAAAAGTGTTATGTCAGTGTGAAGTACAAACAGCTGAGCATTTAGAAAAAAATTCAAAAAGATTCCAAGGAACCCCCATCTCAGATTCCTGAAGCTGCTTTATGTTTGTTTGTTTTGGTGCCAGTCTTGGGGCTTGGACTCAGGGTCTGGGTGCTGTCTTTGAGTTTTTTCACTCAAGGCTAGATCTCTATCACTTGGGCCATAGCTCCACTTCTGGCCGTTTACTGGCCAATTGGAGATAAAAATCTCATAAACTTTACTGCCTGGCTTGGATTTGAACCTCAATCTTCAGGTTTCAGCCTCCTGAGTAGCTAGGATTACATGTTTGAGCCACTGGCATCTGGCTCATGAAGTTGTTTTTATTTTTGGGCTAATGGTTGATCTCTATTGCTCTCATTTTCTCCTTTGCCATGCGGAGCATGTTATGGCTGGGCTTGAGCACTGAACATGATAGACATACCCATACAGCAGTCGATGATGCTGTATTGAGCCATGTCCGAAGACTCTTGGGAGAGATCCTATGCTGGAGGCCAGAGGCCTACTAGAATGTGTTATTGAATAGCAGCATCAAAATATTATCAACAGGCAATGAGCACACATGACCTTCTGAGCTCAGGGTAACATGAAATGAGTAGAAAAGAATGCAAGCTGTATTAACTTCTCAATCTTGGGAGAATCCCATGTGCTGAGTTAAAGGCCCGACTCAGTCTAGCCAGACAGAAGCGCAAAAGCTTGTATGTCACACTCATTGGTATCGGTTGAGCTCTGGTGTTACCCCAAAAGTTATGTGCACAAGTTTTGTTCCCTTGCTTTCTAGATGTAGCTGAAACCTCCATTTCTACTCTCACCACTTGCTGACCTCCAGTGCAACAAGAATGGTTATTGTGTCATAAATGATCTAGCATTACATAATCAAATCTAAATCACTTGAGTAGTAGCAGAATACCAGTAGCCCTGCCCCATGGAAAAAAAAAAAGCAGAGTGGTGCAATTTCCATCATTATCATAATGAAAGAAATTAAAGACCCAGCGATCAATCAGTCTCGCCAGCAAAACCAAATGCTTTTTATTCATCCTGAAGACTTAGCTGAAATAAGCACTTTATGGAAACACAGAAAACACACTAACCAATAGCTCTGCCTTGGGGAGCTGGAGTGCAAAATACAAGAGTGCAGTTTTCATCAACAGGTACAGACCAAGGTATCATTTTTTTTTTAACCATACCTTTTTGTGTTGGCTGTAAGTTTAATTCATATGTGTGTGTGTTGTGTGTGTGTAACTGTCTTTGTACAATTTTTAGCACCACAAAGAGGAAGTGATTTTTCTCCTTCCTTTAAAAAAAAAGTAAAGTTCCAGTCCAAACCATCAGCCTGTGTAGGTTGTCTTAATTGCTACTCTGCACTGCACTGGATTATGACTCTGATCTTTGGCACATGCTATCATACACAAAGTTCCTAAAATAAAATGCTTCAGGATAGCCTAGGAAGTTGTAGAAGGCTTTATAAAGGGACCCACACCGTGAAAAGAGTATCTTTGATGAAGACAATTCAGGCAAGCAGAATGATTAGCACAGCAGAATGACGTGATTAAATTGAGATCTTGAAGTGGGTTTGAAGAGTCCTCGCCACCTAACATAGCACGATTGGGGGGAGGCTGATGAGAATCCAGTGTTGATAAAGACAATTTTTCCCCTCCCCAAGTGACTATACATTTAAATAGCTAAAACATCTGTTCAGCAACCTAGTAAAACATGTATACTCGGAACGCTTGAGAGAAGAGCCTGCCAAACAATCAGTTGAGAGGGACTTCGCTAAGAGAGAACACCAAGATAAAGCAACCGCTGTTTGTTTTGTCTAGGCAGGAGGAGAGCCAAGGCAACCAATATTTTGAGTTTCTTCTATTTCATTTGTGAAGGATTATTTGAGAAAGGGTGGCGAGGGGAGGTTTCCTGACAGGATTTTTTTTTTTTTTAAAAAGCTGTCCATTAGTAGAAGAACAAGGAAGCATTGGATGTCAACGCCTAACAAACTCTTGAGACCAGCTACCAAACCACGAAAAGTGACTTTCTTCCAGAGTGTTCTCACCCGTCCTTCTGATGGAAGCAGAAACGGGGAGCAGCATGGAGACAGGAAAGGGAGCCAGCAGAAGCACTCGAATCGCCTTGGCAGTGTTCATTGGTGTCACTCTGGTGCTGGGCACCGTCCTCTTTCTAGGTAAGTGGAGTGTTAGAGACCAGGGGAACTGGGCATGTGGCCAGATTTGTCTTGGTGCTTTATTCTAACCTTGTCATAATACAGGTGGATGGCTGTTTGTTTGTATTAGAAGACAGTGCATCTTTAGTTACTATGAAATATGCAAATGAAAAGGGAGGTTATTCTGGGTATAAATGTATACCCAGAAGGTAAAGTGGGTAGAAAGGGTTTGGATGACTAGGGTATTTGGTTGCACCGAGACAAAAAGAAAAAAAAATCATGTATTATATTTCACAAATAGAGTGTTTAGGAATTCATAGACAGTTTCATGTGTTTTGTGATGAAGAACTTTACATTGTGATTTAAAAAATCACGCCACAATTTCTTTTCATTTGACTTTTGTTCATGTTTGCTTGAACAAATCACAAAATTTAATTCACAAAATACAAATCCGTCTTTTGCAATTCACCTTTAATAGGATTCTTCAAATCTATTTTAATCCAGCGTCTCCGATGGGATGACATGTTAACTCTGCCTTTCTAATAGATTTAAAAATTAATATGAAAGGAAACAGGTTTTCCTCCCAAGATTTGAAAGGTATTATGATTCCAATTATTTTAATGACTCATGGTGAGAATGATGTGCCCGGAGAGACTCTGTGATAAAAGAGGATTCCTAGGAAGAAAGAATCAATATCTTTGAAAGGGGCAAGACGTGTCTTAAACTTTTAGGCTTTTCAGAAATGCTTGTCTATGACTTTTAATTTTCCTCACACAATCCATACTATTCCATTAACTTGCAAGAGCCCTAGGAACAAGCCCTATACTTAGAAGATTCTAGGTGCACTTTGAAATGCAGCAAGCCTGGCAATGTTCCTTGGCATATACAGGATGCAGGCGGCCATGTTTATTTTGGCAGGGAAAAACCAGTAATTAAACTTGAAAAGACTTAGGGTTGTGTGGTTGAGAATTCTGCTAAAATGAGCAAACCATCTTTCCATGTTTTCTGTGGCTGAAGATTTAGGAAATTAGATGAGTTTATTGCTTTCTGGTGAAACAAAACCTCCTACTTCTGTAACTGCATTTGTGGCTCTTGAAAATCATTGTGAGATTTCTCAGTGCATGGGGTTTAGATGAACATCATCTTCTGAAACTCAAAACTAGAAGAGAAATTTTGTGGGTATGACAAGGGACTGCATATGATGTGGGAAGTGACTACAGAGTTCAGTTTTGAAAATACTTCCAATTCTGATTTTTATACAGTACTGACACTTGAACTCAAGGCCTGGCTGGGTACTATCCATTAGCTTTTTGGCTTAAGGTTGGCATTGTACCACTTGAGGCACAGCTGTACTTCTGGCTTTTTGCTGCTTAATTGGAGATAAGAGTCTCATAGACTTTCCTGCTTGGACTGGCTTCAAATTAAAATCCTCAGATCTCAGCCTCCAGAGTAGCTTAGATTATAGACATGAACCACCAGCATCTAGACCAAATGATCATCTTATATGCACACAAGTGCACTCTTTTCTGCTTATGGCTTTCTGAGACCTCAATATATCAGTTTGATGTTTCTCCATAGCAGCATCTCTTAGTTCTTTGAGCGAAAATGTTACTTTGACACTTGTGTGAATGTTTTTTAAATTTAATTAATTAATTTATTTATTTTGCCAGTCCTGGGGCTTGAACTCAGGGCTTAGGCACTGTCCCTGATTTTCTTTTGCTCAAGGCTAGCACTCTACCACTTGAGCCACAGTGCCACGTCTGGCTTTTTTTTTGTTTATGTGGTACTGAGGAATCAAACCCAGAGCTTCATGCATGCTAGGCAGGCGCTCTACCACTAAGCCACATTTTCCAGCCCCTGAATGATTTTAAAGTGAAGTAAAATTCTCCAAGCCAGGCAATGATATTATGGATAAGGGAGACCCACAGAAGATAGAAAGTAACTTTCCAATGTGCCCAGTAACCTGGCTAACATGTCCAATCTCTAGGAGGGTCTCTAGTTGAGAAGATAAGTGCAAGCTAAGGGTATGGTCCTCTGTAGTTTTGCCATTCAAAGTGTGGTCCACAGACCAGTAAACAGCAGCAATAGCATCAGCATCAGCATCAGCTGGGAACTTTAGCTCCACCCCAGACCCACTGATTGACAGTATGCATTTTCACAAGGCTTTAGGAGATTCCTTTACAAATGCAAGCAATTCTATTGCATTGCTTCAGGAGACCACATCCAATTGGATGCAGAAATTCAAGAACCCTCGGGGTTTTTTTGACAAATATTTCAGTACCATTTAAGACTTAACCTCTTTTCCCCACTACCTTTATTCACTGCTTGTCCCGAGGGCTCTGCCATCACCTTTTCTAGAAAGGTCCTTGCTAGATGCCTTCCAGACAATGCTCTTTATGACAATATTCTAGTTAGGATTTTTTCCTCTCTAAGGGGCTTCCTGATTGATATGGCAATGAATTTTTTGGCCTATCCAAGTTCAGTCACATGTCTGTAATTTCTATTACTTTTGTATCTTTTAGGTTCTGGGATGACCTCTTTTCTAACCTTATACTTTTGTAGTAAGAGTGATCGCTGGTGGCCTTAGAATGGTTCAGAGAATCTAGAGCACTAGAACTGCATAGAAGTATGGTTGTACACCCATGACAGTTTATTTGCAAGTGAATTCTTTCCTCTCCTTTTTCTCTCTCCTTTCCTCCTCATAATCTGTTTCTCAGATGTAGTGATCAGTAATTTTTTTTCTGTTTAGGGCACCTAGTCAATAGTTTTTTTTTTTTTTTTTTGCCAGTCCTGGGGCTTGAACTCAGGGCCTGGGCACTGTCCCTGAGCTTCTTTTGCTCAAGTCTGGCACTCTTCCACTTGAGCCACAGCGCCACTTCCAACTTTTTCTGTGTATGTGGTACTGAGGAATCAAACCCAGGGCTTCAGGTATGCTAGGCAAGCACTCTGCCACTAACCCCTAGTAAATAGTTTTGACTCTATGGGCCATAGTTGCAGCTCTCAGCTCTGGTAGCCCAAAACAGCCACGGATAATAGGTATCCAAATGGATGGGCCAGGGTGCCAGGAAGATTTGATTTCAACACACCGAAATTTGATTTTCATATACACGTCATGTATTATGAGATGTGATTCTTCATTGGATCTCCCCCACCACACACAGTTACTACTAGAAATGTAAAAGCCATTCAAAGAAGCATAAACAGGTAGGGGGCTAGATGTGGCCTGTGGGCTGTAGCTGGATAACTTCTTCTACTTGTGGCCATTCTCACAATCTTTTTTTTAGTCTGAGAGCAGGACTTAAACTCAGTATCTGATGCTTTTGCTCATTAGCTAGTGCTCTACCTACCACTTGAGCCATGCCTCAAACCCCAGATTCTTTTTGTGCACTGCTAGGGATCCCTCCCACATCTTAATTATGTGCTCTTCCAGCAAGCCTCATCTTCATTCTGATAGTCTTTTATTTTTTTGGGGGGGGGGTCCGGTCGTGGGGCCTGAACTCTGGGCCTGGGCGCTGTCCCTCAGCTCTTCAGCTCAAGGCTAGCACTCTACCACTTGAGCCACAGCGCCACTTCCGGCTTTTTTCTTTTTGCTTATGTGGTGCTGAGGAATTGAACCCAGGGCCTCATGTATGCAAGGCAAGCGCTCTACTACAGAGCTACCTTCCCAGCCCTAGTCTTTTTTTTTTTTTGAAGGTCTTAGCAAGGACTTATTTTAGTATAGTGGGTTAAAATAAGGAGAAATAAGAAAAGAGAGAGAGAAAGACTGAGACAGAGAGAGAGATTTCCTGTTTTCCATGGGAGTTAAAGATTCATTCTGACACACTTGATCTCTGGATGACACCATTGTACTCTGACTGTATTTTTACTAGTTAGAGAGAAATAGAAAATGAGAAGTGAAACAACTACTTAAGTTCTTTTTAACACTCTGGAGGACTGGGGGCATGACTCAAGTAGTACAGTACTTGCATAGCAAGTGTGAGGCCTGACCTCTGCACTACCAAAAATCCCCCAATAACAATAAACTAATTAGTTAAAAAAAAGAGGGGCTGGGAAAGTGGTTCAGTGGTAGAGCGCTTGCCTTGCATGCATGAGGCCCTGAGTTTATTCCTCAGCACCACATAAGCAGAAAAAGCCAGAAGTGGGGCTGTGGCTCAAGTGGTAGAGCATTAGCCTTGAGCTGAAGAGCTCAAGGGGCCCAGAGTTCAGGCCCCATGACCGACAAAAAAAAAAGTAATATTTTGTATTTAAAATAGATTTAAAATAGATTTTCTCTGCTGTCTCTATTTCATTCATTTATGACCTTATTTTATCTAGGCTTGGCAATCCTTGTTTCTTTTCACTATGTTAAAATAACCTCTATAAATATAAAGCTTTTCCATGAGAATGTGGATGAATCTGGGTCTTAATTTATTTAAAAACCTTAATACTGTCAGACAATAACTGATTTTAGTTCTGCTTCTCTAAAAGTCTTTGTGTCAAAGTTTTTTAATGAAAGAACAAGTCTTGGAAGTGGTGCTGTGGCTCAAAGTGGAAGAGTGCTAGCTTTGAGCAAAAAAGCTCAAGGAAAGCACTCAGGCCTTGAGTTCAAGTCCCAGTTCTGACCAAAAAAAAAAAGAAAACAAGAATAAGGCTTTAGCTATTCTGTTAGTTAAAAATTAAGACTAGTATCAAGAGCATTGTTCAGAATAATAAACTAGTATTGCTTATAATAAAACATGCTTTTCAGCTGGCACTGTTGGCTCACACCTGTAATCCTAGCTACTCAGGAGGCTGAGATCTGAGGATCATGGTTCAAAGACAGCTCAGGCAGGAAAAGTCCATGAAACTCTTATCTCTAATAAACCACTCAGAAAATGCTTGATAAGAAATGTACTTATTACCTTGCTCATGTAATTGTAACTCCTCTGTACAGTACTTTCACAATTAAAAAAAAACAAAATAAATAAATAAACCACTCAGAAACTAGAAGTGGTGCTGTGGCTCAAGAGGTAGAGTGCTTGCCTTGAGCTGAAGAGCTGAGGGACAGCACCCAGGCCCAGAGTTCAAGCCCCACGACTGACAAAAAAAGAAAACAAAAACCAAAAAACATGCTTTTCCACAATATAAAAAAATGTACCCCCACAATTCCACCAGCTACATACATTGAAATATTCCATGTTAATCTTTCTGCTGGCCATAGTTTACCTGTTTGATTTTTAAAGAAATGAAAACACGGTTTTATGCTCAGAACGTTCTTTTCTTAAAAAATAAGCTCGAAATATCCCGTAGGCAGGTTTCTTGAATGTATAATGTAACATGGGTAGAAAGGCTGTTCAGAGGAAAGAACAGAGGAAAAGTAGACACTTCTTAGAATGTGGCTTAATAAATAATGAATCTTGCCATGCTGATAGGTGATCTGCAGGTCTGCCATCTCTAGCAAGAATAGTAGCAGGGCGTAGCTTCCTGATTCTGCTTCTTTGTTGAACCATGAAGGATTCTGGTCCTTACCCACCTCCCATGATCCATCTCTTCACAGCCACTTCTTCAAATGATTTGTTTTTGCTCACAGAGAATATCAATAATGAATTCCTCTTTTTGAAACCTTAAACTCACATGTGCTAATGTCCACATCCTCCAAAGAGTTCACAAATACAACATCCTTTTGTAGTTTTGCAGAAATCTGTTTTATTTTCTGCCAGTAAGATGGAGGAAATTAAGACATTGGTGAAAGCTGTTTTGATTGTGTAGGAATTTTTTTTCTGTTTTAGAGCTCAGGTTAGAATCAGGGTCAGTCCTAGTCTCTCTCTCTCTCTCTCTCTCTCTCTCTCTCTCTCTCTCTCTTTCCACATGGCTATTTTAAGGCTTGAACTCAGGGCCTGGGTGCTGTCCTTGAGCTTTTGTGCTCAAGTCTAGCACTCTACTACTTGAGCCCTTCTTGCTTTTTGGTGGTTAATTGGAGTTAAGAGTCTCAGAGACTTTTCTGCCTGGGCTGGCTTTGAACTATGGCTGTCATAATTTAGCCTCCTGAATAGCAAGGATTGCAGGCATTAGCAGTAGGATTACAGGCATTAGCCACTACTGGTTCCCAGCCTCATTTTGTTTTTTGAGAGTGTTGGGAACAAATGGAATGTTGATCCTCTGAAGGATACATATTTGGTAGACTGGGACTGGTGGAAGGAGGGTATAGAAAGTTTAGGGCGGACAGAGGGTGATTGCTCCATATGATTAAGTTATATACACAGAATATGTGTGTGTATGTGAGGTGCCAGTATTGGGGATTAAAGAAGGGCTAGGACAATGTCCCTTAGCTTGTTTTGCTCAGGGTTGGTGCTCTACCACTTGAATTACATACAGCTTTACTTCTGGCTTTTTTGGTGGTTAATTGGAGATAATAGGCTCATGGACTTTCTTGCTTGGCTATACAGTACATTCTTACTCTTTCCCTTTCTCTTGCGGTTGTATCTGTATAGATGGTTTAGATAATTCCTAAATGCCACCCATGCTGATTGTTTTTTTTTTTCCACTTAGGATTTGCTCCAAATGACATTGTTTAAAAGTTTGTCTCACCATCTCTAACATAGGGATGTTGTTATAAATATAAGGACTGGGCAGGGGGCTGATGGCTCACGCCGGTAGTCCTAGCTACTCAGGAGGCTGAGACCTGAGGATCATGGTTCAAAGCCAGCCCGGACAGGAAAGTCTGTGAGACTCTTATCTCCAATAAGCCACTAGAAAACCAGAAGTGGTGATGTGGCTCAAGTGGTAGAGCACTCTACTTGAGATGAGTGCAGGGACAGTGCCCAAACCCAGAGTTCAAGCCCTACAACTGACAAAAAAAAAAAAAGTAATATTAGAAGTGGGAAGTGTGGGACATAAAGCGTAGATAATTAGACATGGAAGACACTGTAGAGGTCATCCAGCCCAGCAATTTTCACATTTAGGCATGCATCGGCATGCTTCTTCAGGGCTTGATAAAACACAGATGGTTTGGCCCAATGTCGATGGCTCACACCTGTAACCCTAGCTTCTCAGAAGGCTAAGTTCTGAGGATCACAGTTTAAGGCCAGCCAGGGCAGACACATCTGTGACACTCTTAGCTCCAACAAAAAGCCAAAAGTGAAGCTGCAGTTCAGGTGGTAGAGCTAGCTTTGAGCAAAAATGCAAAGCAAGAGCAAGAAGCTCTGACTTCAAGCTCCAGCACTGTCACAAAACAAAACAAAACAGAACCCCAACCAACCAACCACCCAACCAATCACAGATGGCTGGCAGTAAGGGGAAGATTAAGTGTAGGGGGCTCAAAGGTAAAATCCGAACCAAACTTTAGGGCAACACACAACTGTGTGATATGTCTAGTTTCTGAGTCAGGCGTCTGGATTGGGGTTGAAACTATGCATCTATAAATCTCCCAGTGCTGCGCTGGGGACCATATTTTCAACAACAATGCTTCATTGTCGCAGTTCACTCACTTGTCTTCCAGATAAGAGAACTGAGTTTCAGAGCAACCAAACATCTTACCAAAGCTGTCAAGGGAGTGACCAAAATTGTGCAGAGGCATTGAGCCAATTGTTTATCATCATCATCATCATCATCATCATCATCATTATTATTATAAAGATATGTAAAGTCAGGTGCTGGTGGCTCATGCCTGTAACCCTAGCTACTCAGGAGGCTGAGATCTGAGGATCATGGTTCAAAGCCAGCCCGGGCAGGAAAGTCCATGAAACTCATCTCCAATTAACCACTATAAACAGGAAGTGGTGCTGTGGCTCAAGTGGTAGAGTGCTTGTCTTGAGTCAATAAGCTCAGGAACAGAACCCATGAGCTCCCATGACCGACAAAACAAACAAACAAATAAATAAATGGTGATGTAAAGAGGTGTTAAAAGTATAGAAGTCGAGTAATGAGGACATTTCTTTTTGGACTATGTCACCCCTTCCCTTGCTCTCTCCCAGTTTTTCCCTCTTCTCCCCACCCACAAGTTATATAGTTCATTTTCCACATAGTGCCAACTAGGTTTTTGAATACCAGGTCAGTACTGAGAAGGATGCACTGATATCAAATGTCTTGCATTACGTGTCTTTACCTGATGGAGGTCTCCTACAAGTCAGTCAATTTATTTTGGTCTGTTTTTTTTTTTTTTTCCAGTGAGTCAAGGTTTCTTAAGTTTCCAAGCTAAACAGGAGTATTGCCTGAAGCCAGAGTGCATCGAAGCCGGTAAGTCCATTTCCCACCCTGTGACAAGTTATAATTATGGTACCTTGGGGAGGAGAAGAGAAAACAGGTGGTTATTTTTAGCTTTCTGTTTGCTTGAGGTTTACCAAATATGAAATGCAATTTTGAAGAAATTGGAAGTTTACTTTATCCAGTTTTGGTGTGAAGTAGTGGAGCGAAGGTTTCCTGTTTTCTTATTCCTTGCAATAACAAAACAAGACAGAATAAAACACACACACACACACACACACACACACACACACACACACACACTCACACACACACAGCAGCAGCAGCAGCAGCAGCAGCAGCAGCAGCAGTAGCATCAGCAGCTGTATGATTCTCCAATCCTCAAGAGAAGAGGCTTGGAAGGGTGAGCAGTCTCTCTTAAGACCCTTGGGCAGACATCATTGGCTTCCTATGGTTCAGCTGGCATCAGATTCCCATGATCTTACGTAGTCTGGTCTTTGTGTATCATTTAGGCAGCAGGTCTGATCTGCTTGCCTCTAAGCAGGCATCCTGGGAAAATCCAAGCTTCTGCTATCATCTGGAATCCCCTGGTGCTCTACTCTTCAAGCTATATTTCTCTTGAGGTGACCAGATCATGTATCAGTGAATGCCCAGGCAAAGATCTGTGCTTAAAGTCGCCTCACTGTGGGCAGGGCACTGGTGACTCACACCTGTAATCCTAGCTACTCAGGAGGCTGAGATTTGAGGATCACAGTTCAAAGCCAGCCCAGGCAGGAAAGTCCATGAGACTCTTATCTCCAATAAAACACAAGAAAACCGAAAGAGGCGCTGTGTCTCAAGTGGTAGAGTGCTCATCTTGAGCTGAAGAGCTGAGGGACAGCGCCCAGGCCCAGAGTTCAAACCCCATGACCAACCAAAAAAAAAAAAAAAGTTGCCTCACTGTGGACCCAAATTGTAGATCTTGTGCTGGTCCACAACACAATATTAGGTGTAGAGTTTCAGGAGCTGGAATCAGCTCTACCCCCATCCTTATTTGTTTGTTTGTTTATTTATCTATTTATTTGTGTTAGTACTGGGGCTTTAACTCAGGACCTGGCTCTTGTCCCTGACCTTCTTTGCTTATGGGGGGTGCACTATTACTTGAGGCACAGTTCCACTTGCAGGTTTTTGCTGATTAAGTGGTGGTAAGAATCACACAGACTTCCCTGCTGGATTGACTTTGAACCACGATCCTCAGATCTCAGCCTCCTGAGTAGCTAGGTAATGACAGGTGTGAGCCACCAGTTCCCAGCTCACTATCCATCCCGTCCTTTAAGTGGGCAGGGACCCTAGGGAATTTCTTGTCCTCTGAAATTTAAGCGATTAGTCAACGAACCCACCAAATATTTATTCATATTAGGCTCTGAGTTTGATTTTGGGAATCTATCAGTGAACCAAGTAGAGGAAGAAAAACAATCAATCACCCAAGGCAATCAGGGCACAAGAGGAATATCAGTAGCAGTATGGGTTGTACAGAAAATTAAAGTATGAAACCAGAATATAGCAAGTGACAGGATGGCTGGATTGAAAGGTCGGAGGCCAGGATGTTGAATAATGAGGAGGCAATGGCTGTGTGAGAACTGAGGAGACAGCTTCCCACGTGTGGAGAAGGTGCCACATGGGATGATCTTGGCAGCTTGAGAGGCAGGCAGGGTGGAGTGTTCTGGGTAAGGAACACACACGATGTGTTTAAGTGGGGGTAAGGCTCAGTGTGTGGTTTAGGTGCCACGAGTTTGGGTTTTACTTCAGCATGCTTCAGGGTCTCTGGAGGGAGCCGTGCACTGGTAGCTCATGCCTGTAATCTTTGCTACTCAGGAGACTGAGATATATAAGAATCACGATTCAAAGCCAGCCCAGGTAGGAAAGTCTGTGAGACTCTTATCTCCAATGGACCACCAGAAAACCAGAAGTGGCATTGTGGCTCAAAGTGGTAGAATACTAGCTTTGAGTAAAAGAGCTTAGGGAAAGTGCCCAAGCCCTGAGTTCAAAATCCATGACTGAGAGAAAAAAAGTCTCTGGAAGTGAGTGTGCGTGTGTCTGTCTGTCTGTCCTGGAGTTTGAACTCAGGGTCTAGGCTTTGTCCCTGAGCTTTATTTCAGTTTTGATCAAGACTAGCACTCTACCACTTGAGCCACAGCTCTACTTCAGGCTTTTCAGTGGTTCATTGGAGCTAAGAGGCTCATGGACTTTATTGCCTAGGCTGGCTTTGAACCGTGATTGAACCATGATCCTCAGATCTCAGCCTCCTGAGTACCTAGGATTGCAGGTGTGAGCCACCAGTGCCTGACTGATGAATTGTTTGAAAAGGGCTTAACTTATAAGTCACACAACCAAGGAGATGCTTAATGGGTGTGATTTTTACTATCTTACATAAATTATAAGGCATAAGCTTTAATAAGAGTCTCTCTGGAACCCTGAGTAAAACTAAAAAGTCAGAGTGGCATTTGTCGGAGTGCATGTGCACTTACTACGTTTATAAAACAGCTGGAGCCCACTGAGCCATTAACCTAATGGGCAATGACTTGAGAAAGGAGCACCCTGAGCCTTCACAGCTTCTTCCCATCACCGTATTTCTTTTATTAAAACAAGACCCTCTAGGGTTTCTCCTCGGAGCTGAGGAGGAGAAGGAAAGGAGTTTTGGTGCCTTGACAGCTATAGTCCCTTGCAATTGGAAGTCACCGTGTCCCTGCAGAATGTGCAGTCCGGTGCCCAGCTGTGAATGGCCCATGATGAATGGCCAGGCAGAAGAGAGTTTTCGCAGTCAGTGGGCTGCTTTCCAAATGCGGTGTGAGTGATATATTCCCCACTTTTGGATCAGGGCCGAGGTCAGAGCTGACCTTGCAGTTTTCCTGATGCTTGCAGGAAAGCCAAGGAGATGGAGAAGATGCATCTGGGGGGTGGAGGCAGGGAGGCAGAAGGAGGAAGCTGGAGAGCATTGAGCGTATAGGAATAAAACCGTGTGTGAGGGCTCCCTTGAGTGACTGGAATATTATGTGTGATTGGGCCTTGGTGTCATCTGTGTTCCTGAGGTGTCTCACACAGCAGATTTAATCTGGGGATGCCCACCCAGACCATGAATACAAACGGGAAGGATGATGTTTTTGGGGGGAGTGGGGTAAGGCTGACATGTTGGAATGTTAAATAGTAATGATGAAATACTAGCAGTGAGCAAAACTCAAATTAGCAATAACAGAATTAGTTTAGAAAAATCCATCCAGCCGATTTGAAATTGATACTTCTAAGCCAAGTTTTTTCTACTTGTTTATTTTGGGGTGTGGGAGTTAAAAATAGTAGGGAGGTTGAAGTCCTGCAAAAATAACAATGCTGGCATCTTACGTCAATGAGGACAAAAAGCTGCTTAGAGTTTCCATAGAAAGTCTAGGCCATGCGAAGTGCAAAAGAACAATAATGATTGTAAATAAAATAGAAAACTAGGGAGTCAAAGCTCTGAAAATATCAACTCTTAGTTTGGAACCTAGAGGAACCCTACATCTAACAAAATTATAAGATACATTTCCAAATTTATGCAGATTATACTTTTTCAGGCAATTCATTCTTATTTAGCTGAAAATTCATTGTGTTTTCATTACTTCAAATAAAAATGTATCCTGACATTAATTAAGGTATGAAAATTGCCCGGAATGCCATCCTTCCAATGTCATTAAAATATTGGCTGCCTTTTAAAACAATCATTTGGTGCCTGTCTTGGTGCCAGAGTGGTAGCCAGTAATTGTATGGCAGTTGGAAGAGAGTTAGAATTCAATATGATGAATATTGAAAAGTCATTTTGTAATGAAAGGTTTTCTTTTAAAGCTCAGGGATGTATATTTATGGATAAATACTGTACCTATGGATTAGCTTCCATATAAAATTGTGTATGGGCTTTTAAAAGAATGGCTGTGTGCCAGTGGCTCCTACCTGTAATCTTATCTCCAATTAAGCATCTCCACCAAGAAAGCCAGAAGTGGAGCTGTGGCTAGTGGTAGAGTGCTAGCCTCGAGCAAAAAGGTCAGGGACAGCACCTGGCCCTGAGTTCAAGCCCCAGGAAAACACTCTCTCTCTCTCTCTCTCTCTCTTACACACACACACACACACACACACACACACACACACACACACACACAGAATGAAAAGTGGTGTATTAGTATATTGCATCTTTCTGTTTATTCATATGACTTCTTACTTCTGCCTTATATGTGAAACCCTTATTTAGAACACTCCATTTTGGCCTTTTGGCCCCTCCCTCTGGTCAAGGAGTTTCTGGAGCCAGGTCTGCAGCCATTTCCTACATCCCAGAATTCCTTGCCAAATGCCCCCAAGTCTCCTTTTGAGGCCTGTCCTGGTTTCTTAGAGTTTCATCCCTAAGAGAGCTATACTTAGTGCCCAGGAGCTCAAGAATTCATTCGTGTGTGTGTGTGTGTGTGTGTGCGCGCGCATGTGTGTTGTGTGTGTGTGTGTGTGTATGTGCGCACGCACGCACGCATGTGGGAGGCTTGAACAAAGGAGGCCTGGGTCCTGTTCCTGAGCCTTTTTTGCTCAAAGCTAGTACTCTATCCCTTGAACTACAATGTACTTCTGGCTTTCTTTTCCTAGACTTTCTTGCCCAGGCTGGCTTTGAACTGTGATGCTCAGATCTCAGCCTCCTGAGTAGCTAGGATCATAGGTGTGAGCCACTGGTATCTGGCCTCATACATGATTTTTATAAAAAAATATTGTAATTATAACCTTGAAATATTTAGGTAGAGCTGGGATGTAGTTCAGTGGCAAAGCACTGGCCTAGCAAGTGCAACATCCTGGGTTCGATTCCCAGTGCCCAAAAAGGAAAAAAGAGAACAAAATATTTAGATAGGTGACAGGTTAGCTTCTGTTTCAGTTACCCTTGGCTGTGAAACCAACCACCTCGAAGCTTGGAAAAGCTGAACAAGGCTGATTGGAACACTTGTCATGGTTCTGTGGGCTTGGTAGTAGTTTCACTGTTGATCTTGCCCAGACTTATTTTTTTTTTTTTTGCATCTTTCACCAGATGAATCCTTTATTCAGACCTTTAAAATTATATATACATACACATAAATATTAAAATTATCTTTAAGTGGTTTCACAAAGGGGTTTCAATTCAACATGTCAATTTATGAATACAATGATTCTTGTTCATTATCAACTGTTTCATCGTTCTCCCATCTTTTGTCCTATCCTCTCAAGTTATCTAGTTCCATTTTCATTATATAGACATTGAGTATTCTGTTTTTGCCCACCCTTTCCCTCTCCATTCATCAACCTCCCCACAGCTCCTGATAACACCTTTTAGCTTTCTTATATTCGTTTTGTTAAACTCTCAATTAATTGTTTGAAGGAGTTACACCATTACAATCCTCCCCTGATTATACTTCAGTCAATGTTTAGGTATACATACATAGGACCCTGTACATGTTTTTGATATATGTTAATAATATAGATCTAAGTTCCACATGTGAGAAAAAAATGTTCTCTTTGTCTCCTTGAGCCTGACTTCCCTTAACATAATTAGTATCCCAGTCTACTTATTTCCCTGAAAAATCACCTATTTTTTTCCTGATAGATGTACTCAGACTTTTACAAGGACTTGCCCAGACTTATTTGTGTAGTTGTGTCAGCTGCAGGGTTACATGAGCTAAAACGGCCATGGTGGCCTTAGCCACATGGTCTGGTAGTTGGTGTTAGCTTGGGTTTTCTCTTCGTGGCTTCTTGTTCTTCAGGAAACTTCTTCCAACGATGGTGTCTGAGCTCCAGGTAAAGGGAATCAGCAGGAAAGGAGCAAGGACTCATCAGGCCTAGCCTTGAAACTCACAAACAGCCATTTCTATTGGTCAGAGCAAGGCCAACATAGATGCAAGTCTGGGGAAATGGACCAGATGGAAAAGACTAGCAATGTCACTTTGCAGAAGGACATGTGGGGTGTGAAGAGTGAGCCCCTCCATTTGTGTTCTTACCCACACCTCACAGATGATAAAACAATCCTGTAGTTTCAATCACAGTAAAGCCAATCCAACTTGAACCCACACACTCAAAGTGTGGTCATTCCCCGAAGTGAAGTTGATTCAAAGAGTCAGTTGAGTGTAAATGTAGAAGCCAAAGCTTAGGAATTGGTTGATATGAAATTATTATTTAATTTGGAAAAGAGCAATACGCAATGCTCAGTGCTTGTCATTAATCCTATGTTGTTGTTTTCTTGTTAAATAGCTGCTGCTGTCATGAGCAAGGTAAATCTGTCTGTGGATCCTTGTGACAATTTCTTCCGGTTTGCTTGTGATGGCTGGATAAACAACAATCCAATTCCTGAAGATATGCCAAGCTATGGAGTTTATCCTTGGCTGAGGCATAATGTTGACCTCAAGTTGAAGGGTAAGTTTCTACAGGAGTTTGGTGATGCATTTTATGGAGTGCAATAATAGGCAAGAATCAAAGAGTTTGGGCCAGGTGTGAGGCTGCATTCTTATAATCTTGGCACTTGGGAAGATGAGGTAGGATCATGAGTTCCAGATCAGCATATTATACACAGAGAAACCCTGTCTCAAAAAACACAAACCGTACTATACACAGATACATACACATATACATGTATCTGTAATTATATGTCTCTATATAGATATAGCTATCTCCCTCATATCTATATATCTATATGTAGATATAAAGACAGAGTTTGGGATTTGAAATGTGACTTCACTTTTTTTTTTTTTTTTGGTGTCAGTCTCGTGGTTGGAATTGAGAACATAGGCATTGTCCCTGAGTTTTGTTTTGTTTTATGTTCCTTAAGGCTAGCACTTTACTACTTGAGCCACAGCTGTATTGCTTTTTGGTGGTTAATTGGAGATAAGAGTCTCATGGGCTTTCCTGCTTGGGCTGGTTTCAAACTGTGATCCTTAGATCTCAGTCTCCTGAGTAGCTAGGATTACAAGTGTGAGCCACTGGTGCACAGCAACTTCACTTTTTCACTCACTAAATTTATTTTTAAGATTTTTGTCCTACTGGGGTTTGAACTCAGGGCATGTACTTCTTAAGTAGGTGCTCTTTTTACAGCTGAGCCATGCCTCTGGCTCTGATTTTTGCTGCTATTTTTGAGATAGGGTTTCACTTCTGTCCAGGCATGGGCCTGGGTGAAACCTACTTATGTTAGGTTTCACACCATAGTTAAAATACTGCACCTAGCTCTCCACTGACGAGTCTCTTGAATTTTTCTGCTCCGGCTGGCCTCAAACTGTGAACCTCCCATCTCAGCCTCCCAAGTGGTTAGGATTACAGGCATGAGCCCTTGACTCCTGATCCTTTGCAAGCATTTTTTTCAAATGGAAGATGGAAAGTTTTTAGGATTCCAGTCTCCCAGATTTGCTTAACATGAGCCAAAGGTAAATAATGGGTGCTTTGGGTTTGCTAATGAAATACTAAGTTCCTTTGCTGAAGATTAAATTGAATTGAATAGGGGGCAAAGGCAGAGTTGATGACAATTGTGTTCTCATAATATACTCATTTGTCTGTCGTGTTCAAGGTAAACCTCATGCCTTGCTTGTTGTGCCCTGCATTGCCCAGGACACCTTGTTGTCTTCTTGTGAATTTCATTTTGTTTGATTGTAAAGGTGATGTCCGGAGGGATTACATAAGTCATTGTCTTTTGACATCACTTTTGTTGAACTCTGGGTGACCCTTGGTTGTCATATTGTTCTTGTTAACTTCTACGTTAGCTCCAGGGAGACTCACTTTTCTCCCATGGTGTCTTTAGCACTGACAAGCTCTCTCACACACACTCACGCGTGCTTGTTCCCTAACCCAGCCCCCCCCCCCCCCACCAGAGCTGAAATTGTCTACTACTGGAGAATATTATGTTTCTATTGGACCTCGTTTTTATGCTATGCGGTCGGAGAAAGCCACCCCAGGAGGGAAGAGGAAGATTTCCAAACCAGATAAGGTTAATTGTTTTGAGAAGGCAAAAACTGTGTGTTTTTGATTTCCTCTGCTCTTTTTACAACTTATGCCATGGAACTTGCCTTTAGTAGCACAAAGGACTTCTGAGAAGCGATAAGAATTATAATAGTTCTTCTTTTGCCAGCTCTGCTTTTTCAAGAGTTGGAGGGCATGAAAATTAAATATGTTTCAATTTATATATACTTTCTAACATGAAATCATTGGCAAAATAGATAAACTTGTCCGTTGTAAGGAAAGTACAGTTATAGTTCATAACTTGATATAAATCATACAGACTTATATTTTCAATTAGGAGGCTGAAATTTAGTTTTGGTAAATTATGAATAAGAATTTTCAAGAATGTCAGGGTTTTCCAGACTCTACCTAACAGATGAGATTCCCGTATGGTAGAACTATAAATAGGACCATGAGGAGTGAGTTCACAGACTAATACTTATTTCCCTGTGGACATACATTCATTTTGACTCTTCATCTCCTGTTCTTGCCTGTTTTCCATGATTTTCTTCCTTGGTAGATTCCTGCATTGGTATGCGTCTGTGCGTGTGTGTGTGCATGTGCACACACACACATTCATCATCCCAATAGAAATATCATTGATAAATTTTTAAAAAATACAAGATTTACACTGGGTACTGGTGGCTTATGCCTATAATCTTACTCAGGCAACTGAGAGCTGAGGATCACAGTTGAAAGCCAGCCCAGGCAGGAAAATACATGAGACTCTTATCTCCAATTAACCAGCCAGAAGTGGAGGTGTGGCTCAAGTGGTGGAGTGCTAGTCTAGAGTAAAAAGGTTCAGGGACAATACCCAGGCCCTGAGTTCAAGCCCCAGGACTGGCACACACAAAATGAAAAAAGTACACTTACAAAGTTAATTTAAAGAAATTTCTAATGTAAGGAAATTTAAACTAATTTAAAGAAATTTCTGAGAATGTGTTGGGGTAAAAACTCAAATCAGTCTTGAGGTGCTTTGTTTGAGCAGAGTAATGTACACAGGCCCCTTCAACATTCATGAGATGAGACTAAATTGTTCAGGGTTTTATGTTTTGCAGGTTTTCTTTAAAAATGAAAGATTTTTCTTGGTAAGTGCATTTGAGAAAAAAAAAATAGAAGTAGAAAGAAGCCACGTGCTAATGGCACATACCTGTAATCCTCAAGAGGCTGGGGGTCGGGGGTTAAAGCCAGTTGGGGCAGAAAAGTCTGTGAAACTTTTATCTCCAATTAATTACAAACAAAGCTGGAAGTGGAGCTGTAGCTCAAGTGGTAAAGCACTAGCCTTGAGCAAAAGAAGCCAGGGCTAGCACCCAGGCCCTGAGTTCAAGCCTCAGGACAGACACACACATACACACAGACAAAATAAACAACCAGAAGCAGAGCTGTGGCTCAAGTGGTAGAGCACTCAGCCATGACTGAAAAGCCAAGCAAGAGCATGAGGCCCTAAATTCAAGACCAGTTACCCACCCCCACACAAACACAGTTGAAAGAAAGTTGTTTCTTGTAGAAACAGTTGCTAACAAAGCAATTGACTATATATCTTTCCAAGTTTTGTTCCATGTACAAGTCCATTTGCACAACATCATGTGCACATCCATATATTTTCAAAATTAGCACCATCATACATCTTGTTCTATAACCTGTTTTTAAAAACTACAAATTTCTCATAGGCATGGATAATGTCTATCTACTGTGGTACCTATCCTGTGTACATACCTTTAAGTCCATATGTAAAAATATTCCTGGGATAAATTCCCAGAAATTATTGGATGGAAAGAGTATTTACAATTTAAGTTTGATACAGATAGTCAAATTGCCGTTTAGAAATTCTGTTTGATGTCACTTTGGGCCAATTGCTGATCTCTTTAAGTTCAGTTTTCTTCCTCTAAAATAGAGATCAAAATATCCACAACATAAGAGTTTTGTGACTACTGAAGGAGTTGCCCTACATAAATTACCCCATCCAGTTTCTGGCACAAAGCAGGCCATCAATAAATATTTGTTTTTTGTTTTTTTTTGTCTCTCCATTTTGTCTCAAAGGTAGTTCTAAGGTTCGTGAAGTACTGTCTGTGAAATGCTTTAAGTTTTATTCTGGTCTTATCCTTTGTAAATATCATGTGCTTTCAAAAATATTGAATACTGTCAAGGTTCTTTTCCTCAGCCTTGATGAAAAGAGAGAACATCCAAAAATAAAACCTAGTATTACCAACCAAAAGAATACCATTTTCTTATGGCTGATAGAGAACACCCAGATTCAGCTGTCCGTTGTGAAATAAAATGAACTTGACAGACCAGGCTGATGAAAAATTGCTCTCTATTGAAGTCAGCCACCTGGCTTTGTGGGTTTTTTTCCCTTGAAATGGCATAGAAGACTCAGATTTCTACCAAGAAATTTATTTCTTCTTCTCTCTAAGACGCAAGATTTTTTTTTTAAATTTAAGAACAGGTTAAATATAGTCACGTGTGTCTTAAAATTTCCATCCTACAACCTCCTACTCAATTTGTCTTCATGTGAATTGTAAAGACACTATGGCCCACATTGCTTGTGAATAAGCAGATGGAAACATGAGGCAATGAATGAGACAGAACATTTGTGTCACAGAGAAGACAAATGACTCAGGTAGAGCCAGATCATCTCTATTATGGGACAGCTATCTTGGCCAATATTTTGGGAAGAAATGCAGTATATTATTTTCAAACACAACTTCAGCAGAACAGAAAGATGTAGAGACTCAGCAGATAACCATGACTGTGAATCTACATTGGTTATTTATTCATAAATACCTACTGGATGGAATTCAAATGGTTCTCATAAGTAATTACCTTCCCTTTATGATTTTGCCTGAACTTTTTTGTGGTACTTGGATTTGAGTTCATGGCTTCTTGCTTGCTAGGCAGGTACTCTATTACTTGAGCCAAACCCCTAGTCTTTGTTTTCTCTCTAAGTCATAATGGCCAGATCAACTTGTGTATGTGTGTGTGCGTACATGAGCATGCATACGTGCATCTCTGTGTGTGTGTGCGTGTGTGTGTGTGTGTGTGTGTGTGTGTGTGTGTGTGTGCGCCAGCCCTGGGACTTGAACTCAAGGCCTGGTCACTGTCCTTGAGCTATTGTGCTCAAGTCTAGTATTCTACCACATGAGCCACAGCTCCACTTCCTGCTTTTTGGTAGTTAATTAGAAATAAGTCTCATGGACTTACCTGCCTGGGCCTGCTTTGAATTGCAATTCATAGATCTTGGCATCCTGAGTAGCTAGGATTAAAGGTAGGAGACACCAGCAGCCTGCCAAATCATTTTTTGTAGATAATAGAACTGAGAAATTCAATTCAGCTCTTGTATATTCATTTGACAATCAGGAAGTTCAGATTGTTGAAGATATGTTGAATGGGGCCATATTCCTTAGCCCGTATATGTGGAAGAATAATGTACC